TTCTCTGCCTTGTGTGTTCTCGGATCAGGTGCAGAAGGCAGTTCCTCCTCCTCGCTGGCCGTCAGCCACTGTAAGCTTCCCCCAGCTGAAGCCTCCTCTAAATCTCTTCCGGATGGCTATTCAGACGTGCCAGGAATGGGCTCATCCTCCCCTGGGCTCACCTCTAGAGATATCTGGGGAGTTGTCCAAGGGAGGCACCACACAAAGTTGACGTTTAGCATGAAACCTGCAGGAAAAGCTTTCCATATTCTGCTAGTAGGTGCCTCTTACAGTTCCAGGACACAAGAAGAAGGAAACTAGGGTGTTTCACGTCAGGTAGCAGAGAGAGTTTGAGGGATTCAAAAAAGGTAGATTTCCAGAGAATTGGGATTTTATTTTGTTTTATTTAAGCAACTTGGTTTCTTTGCTAACGCCAGGGGTAGGCAACCTTGGCTCTTTTATGACTCGTGGACTTCAACTCCCAGAATTCCTGAGCCAGCCATGCTGAGGGGAGAAGTTTCCAAGCTGAGCCATGCTGGCTCAGGAATTCTGGGAGTTGAAGTCCACGAGTCATCAAGGGGCCATAGTTCCCCCATGCTGGCTCAGGAATTCTGGGAGTTGAAGTCCACGAGTCATCAAGGGGCCATAGTTCCCCCATGCTGGCTCAGGAATTCTGGGAGTTGAAGTCCACGAGTCATCAAGGGGCCATAGTTCCCCCATGCTGGCTCAGGAATTCTGGGAGTTGAAGTCCACGCGTCATAAAAGAGCTAAGGTTGCCTACCCCTGGCCTAGATGATAGGTAGGTAGGTAGGTAGGTAGGTAGGTAGGTAGGTAGATAGATAGATAGATAGATAGATAGATAGATAGATAGATAGATAGATAGATAGATAGATGATAGATAGATCGATCGATCAAGGGTAGGCAACCTTGGCTCTTTTATGACTCGTGGACTTCAACTCCCAGAATTCCTGAGCCAGCCATGCTGAGGAGAAAGGGAGAGGTTTCCATGCTGAGCCATGCTGGCTCAGGAATTCTGGGAGTTGAGGTCCACGCGTCATAAAAGAGCCAAGGTTGCCTACCCCTGCCTAAGGCCGATAGCTTAACGATTCAGAGTTTGTTTCAGAGAATGCAAATCACTGGGAAGCAATTTATAAACTTGTCAGGATTCATAATCCACGAGCGTGGTTATTCTGAACACCTTGCCAAGTGAAAGCTAAGCCAGAATTCCTTCTCTGAGCAGAATGCCACAGAAACCCTTTTATCCCATTATTGTTGACTGAGTTAGTGGATCAGGAAAGGCTTGGCCTGGGCTCCACCTCTGAGCAGCCTTGCATGTGGGAAGAGAGAGCAGTTCCTTCTATATAAATCTCTCCCTACTTTACCCCTCACAGCTCCCCATCCCATGGCAAAATCTCTTTCAACCATGATGCAGGAATATAAATAATCATTTCAGATATAAAGGTTTGTTTTTTCTCCTTTGCTATATGTAATGATTAGTATCCGGCACTGGATACGTCGGTTCCTCTGGATAACTTTGAAGATTCGATGTCCTATAGAACCAGTCTCCCCGAAAGGGCTTAGAGCAGAGAGTCTAAGAAAGCAACTTAATTCACAGCAAGATAAATGGATTGTCTGATCCTGTTGCCTCCCATTTTGGGCTTCATCGCTCATTTAAAATGTCATACTAGCCCTTGCAACGTGGCAGTCTACGCCTCTTTTTTTAAGAATGCACGTTTTTCCCTTTGGTACCTGAGAACCTGCTTTTTCAATAAGTACACCCACCGAGTATTCTGAAAGTCTTTGAATACATCTTCCACTTTCAAGAAAGACACAAACCCATCTGGGAAAGACTATTGTAAACCCCGAAATGTGTCACTTGTGGAATGTTAGCTGTTTTCTGTTGTTCAAATTTCACAAGCAATCGGTGTATTTTATTGTTTCATCATTTGTTTACTGGCAGCACATGTACTGAACGGATGTATCATATAATAATAATAATAATAATAATAATAATAATAATAATAATAATAATAATAATAATTATTATTATTATTATTATTATTATTATTATTATTATTATTATTATTATTATTATTAATAATAATAATAATAATAATAAAGTTGGAAGGGACCTTGGAGGTCATTGAGTCCAACCCCCTGCTCAGGCAGAAAACCTTACACCATTTCGGACAAATGGCTGTCCAGTCTTTTCTTAAAAACTTCCAGTGTTGGGGCATTCACCACTTTTGGAGGCAGGTAGTTCCACCGGTTAACAGTTCTCCCTGTCAGGAAGTTTCTCCTTAGTTCTAAGTTGCTTCTCTCCTTGATTAGTTTCCATCCATTGCTTCTTGTCCTGCGTTCAAGGGCTTTGGGGAAGGGCTTGACTCCCTCTTCTTTGGGGCAGCCCCTGAGATACTGGAACACTGCTATCATGCCCCCCCTCGTCCTTCTCTTCATTAAACTAGACCTACCCAATTCCAGCAGCCGTTCCTTATATGCTTTAGCCTCCAGTCCCCTAATCATCTTTGTTGCTCTTCTCTGTACTCTTTCTAGAGTCTCAACATCTTTTTTACATCGCGGTGACCAAAACTGGATGCCGTATTCCAAGTGTGGCCTTACCAAGGCCTTGTAAAGTGGTATTAACCCTTCACGTAATCTTGATTCTATCCCTCTGTCAATGCAGCCCAGCACTGTGTTTGGCAGCTGCAGCCCACGGCTGGCTGGCTCCTGTTTAAGCGACTGTCCATTAGGACTCCAAAAGCTCCCCCAAAGTCAAAGCCTTCATGCCTAAGGCAGAACTTGAACTCATGGTCACTTGCTTTCTAGCCTGCTGCCTTCACCACTAGACCAAGCTGCCTCTCCTTTAGAGACTCCCATAAAGTCGCAGCCCCAGGAGCGCCCCTAACCTTAATTGGACACCAAGAGCTCCAGTATTGAAGGGGGGGTCCTAGAGGGGATTCCCCCCCTGCTGCAATTTTGCAAAGGGGTCCCCAGGGAAGGAACGGGAAAGGGGGCGAGGGAATGGATTTGGGGGGGCTTCAAAGTGGACGCCACGGGGAGCAGCCCTGCCCGGTACTGGCGCGGCTTACCCGGGAGATGGCGGGGAACGGCCTGGACGCCGCGCCGCTGCCGAAGGGATGAGCCGAAGGGGACCCAGCGAAAGGAGGCCGCCTGGAGGGAGAAGCGGGGATGAGGAAACGGGCGGAGACCCCGAGACGGGCCTGGAGGGCGGAGGGTCCTTCGGGACAGGCGGGAGACTCGGGAATCCCCAGAGAATCCAGGAGGGAGGAGAGAAATATGAATGCCCGGAATGTGGAAAATCCTTCAAATCAAATGGAGATCTTAAAAAACATTTAAGAATCCACACAGGAGAAAAACCATTTAAATGCCTGGAGTGTGGAAAGAGCTTCAGTCAGAGGGGACACCTTTATACACATCAAAGGATCCATTCAGGAGAAAAACCGTATAAATGCCTGGAATGTGGCAAAAGTTTCAGTATGAGTGGAAACCTTTATAGACATCAAAGAATCCACACAGGAGAGAAACCATTTAAATGCCTGGAATGTGGAAAGCGCTTCTGTCAGAACAGAAGTCTTAATATGCATCAAAGAATCCATTCAGGAGAGACACAAGATGAATTCCTAAAGTACAAAAAGACATTCAATCACAGGGGAAACCTGAGGAATCGCCAACCAATCCATGAGGGAAAAAAGAAATATCAATGTACAGAATGCGAAAAATCTTTCCAAAAAAATAGAGATTTTCAAACCCATCTAAGAATCCACACAGGAGAGAAACCATTTAAATGCCCGGAGTGTGGAAAGAGCTTCAGTCAGAGGGGAAGCCTTTATACCCATCAAAGGATCCACTCAGGAGAGAAACTGCATAAATGTCTGGAGTGTGGAAAGAGCTTCAATCGGAGGGGACACCTTTATACACATCAAAGGATCCACACAGGAGAGAAACCATTTAAATGCCCGGAGTGTGGAAAGAGCTTCAGTCAGAGGGGAAGCCTTTATACCCATCAAAGGATCCACTCAGGAGAGAAACTGCATAAATGCCTGGAGTGTGGAAAAAGCTTCAGTCTGAGGGGAAACCTTTATAAACATCAAAGGATCCACTCAGGAGAGAAACAGCATAAATGCCCGGAGTGTGGAAAGAGCTTCAATCTGAGGGGAAACCTTTATAAACATCAAAGGATCCACTCAGGAGAAAAACCACATAAATGCCTGGAGTGTGGAAAGAGCTTCAGTCAGAGTGGCAACCTTTATAGACATCAAAGGATCCACTCAGGAGAGAAACAGCATAAATTCCTGAAGTATGGAAATACATTCAGTCAAACGGGGAACCTGAGGAATCGCCAAAGAATCCATGAGGGAGAAAAGAAATATCAATGTACCGAATGCGAAAAATCTTTCAAAACAATACAGGTTTTGAAAACCATCTAAGAATCCACACTGGAGAGAAACGATATAAATGCCTGGAATGCGGAAAGTGCTTCAATAGGAGTGGAACCTTATATAGACATGAAATGATTCACACTGGAGAAAAACCACATAAATGTCTGGAATGTGGAAAGAGCTTCAGTCGGAGAGGAAACCTTTACATGCATCAGAAAATCCATTCAGGAGAAAAACCACATAAATGTCTGGACTGTGGCAAGCATTTCCGTTCAAAGAGAAACCTTTATTCACATCAAAAAATCCACAGAAAAAAACCATAAACGCTGAGTGTGGAAAGAGCTTTTCTTAGCATAGAGGCCTACATCGACATCAAAAAATTCATGTGGGAGAAAAATGATAAATATGCCTGAGTGTGAGATGACCTTCAGTCACAGTGTATATCTCAGGAATTGAATTGCATATTTATTTTGGTCAAGTGTGAATAGAGACACAAGGAATTTGTCTCAAGTGCACTAGCTCTCAGTGTACATACAAAGCAACAGAATGATAATCATGTAATTCCAATAAGATGGGTGAGTAAAGAAGATAAGGGTAAATAATAACTGCCAAATAAGGGACTTTCTCAGGTTGAATAATAAAAGACTTTTTCAATTGTACATGCTAAAGGTTTTATCTGGCTGAAATTGTACCTTTCCACAACATAATGTGACTCATGATGCCTTTTCGCATGTGAACGTTCTCCTTTTAATGCAATGCTTATGTCAATTATGCTTAGTATTATGGGATTTACTGTCCATGTCTCTAATGTAACTGAGCAGTATGATTTCTTCCATCCAATCAAGTTTTGTACTTTTTCTACTGTATGGAGTATAAAATGAAATTAAATTCTGTGTCATGGATTCCCTCTTTTCATTAAGAAAAACCTCTTTGCTATAATAAATTGACTTAAAATGGTCATCCTACTCGGTGCCTAATTGGAGCAAGTGTGTCATGGCTGAATCTAGGGCTAATTTGGCCTTCATTGCTGTGGATGTGAAAGAGTTGCTCCCTGTTTGATCTAATATAATAATAAAGCTGGAAGGGACTTTGGAGGTCATCGAGTCCAACCCCCTGCTCAGGCAGGAAACCCTACACCATTTCGGACAAATGGCTGTCCAGTCTCTTCTTAAAAACCTCCAGTGTTGGAGCATTCACCGCTTCTGGAGGCAAGGAGTTCCACTGGTTAATTGTTCTCACTGTCAGGAAGTTTCTCCTTCTAAGTTGCTTCTCTGAAAGCACAATGTAAGTGCAACGAGCTGCTCCACTTTTGCTGTAACCACTTGGGAATTAGGAAGAATTCAGAATTTGGAGAATTTAGATATCTAAAACTCTAAATTGGATGCCCTCAATGATCCCCTTTAAAGCTTTTTAGCAGAAACAGGAGACTCTCTTAAGGCCGACAAAGCTTTGTGTAACTTTGTGTATTTGAAGGAGAATGTCGACCTTGTACTCCCAAATGTGCACGACATAAGGCCACAGTAGATTTGCTCAGCCCACCCCCACCCCAGGAAAACACCCATCACTCAGACTGCTTTTATTCCTGAACAGTAATTTTATTTCTCCCCACCATGTGGCAGCAATTCTGCAAATACAGTTTATAACTTAAGAGCGAGTCATTCAGAATTATGACCTATACCCAAAGTTATGGCCACTGCAACACCCCCAATTGTGTGATCACAATTTGGGCGCTTGGCAAATCCCTTATGACTCACTCTCGGGATGCTGAAGCTGCTCCACCAGCCAGAGTGACTCCACTGAGTTCTTTGGCCTTCGTGCCCTGCCGGGTCCCGCATCCTTGGGCCTTCTCTCCACCCCGTGAAACCTTGAAGGATTGCCCTTTGAAAGACCCAGCACATGGGCCCTATGACAGAAGCCAACTGCTCCCTCTCCTGGATTGGGAGTACTTGCTCCCCGTCACTCATGCCGTAGTCATGTCCTGTTTGGATCACTGCAACTTGCTCCACAACGAACTGCTCAACTTTTGCTGTAACCACTTGGGAATTAGGAAGAATTCGGAATTTGGAGAAGAAACAGGCTCCCTTCCCGCCTGTTTGCAAGGCTGTTGTGCCCTGAGAGTGACCTATTATCTGCTTACCACCTCAGCGTTCTCAAATCATCTCTACGGCCTCATATTGGCTGCCGGTGGGCTGGGTTTGGGGAAAACGAAAGAATTGCTTTGCGCAGGACTTATATTCCACCTGACTTTTCTGCATCCACTCCCTCTCAGTAAAAGTTCTGGTTAACTGTAATGGAGTCAAGAGTTTTGTTTTCCTGGGGGACCCGCTGGGGCAGCTCCATACTTGCTCTCATGAACTAGGACTTCAGGTTCACCCTATTTATTTTTGATACTTTGGGCGTTAATGTATAGGCAGCCGGTCCTTTTCGATTGTCCCCTCTGACATCTGTATTAGTCCCGGACGGTTGAGAAAATAATTTCCAAAGAACTTTGCTCACAAAAGTTTATTAAACAACTTTATTTTCTCTCTACTCCAAGATAGCTATTTTTGAATTAATTTGGCAGCTCTTTTGACTTCTCAGAAGGAAGTGAAAGAATTTTTTAAAAATTGCTTCCTTTCCCCATCCCTCCCTTTCAACAAATCACAAGCGACACACTTCAAAAACAATAAATTAGCAATACATTCAAGTAAACCGGCCAAGACGATCCCAGCAGCAGCTTTTTTTCTTGCCCTGTTCTTCTGCTGCTGCCTGGAGAGAGGGACGGGCCTGGCCTTCTCCACCAGCTGACATTCCCCTCTGCAGCAGAGACTGGAGTGGGGCTTTGGCCTCGTGGCACGGAGACCTCTACTGCGGCATGAAGTAAAGGGTGGGGCTGTTTGCACCGGCAGCCGGGTCCCCTGGCATGCCCCCTCCCCACTGTCCATGGACTCTTTGAGGAGAAACGCTTTCTGGTGGTGGCTACGACCAGGAGGGGCATTTGGGATCCCTTGAAACCTTTCAGAGTCAGGACACGATCACCACCATTGGACGTTTCGTCGGATGCGATCAAAGATGATTTTGCTGAGAAGACATTTATTTGCAGTTGAGGAGAGTTCTGGGCGGCAGCAAAGAGACCAGACTAGAAAGAGGACTGAAACGCACTTGGAGACCTTAGCGTTTCTCGAGAGGTTTTCCAGTCGTTCAAAGAATCTGGGGTTGGGTAGCACCTATTCCAGTGGTGGCGAACCTTTTAGAAATCAAGTGGCCAAACTGCAACCCAAAACCCACTTATGTATCGCTGGGTGCCAGGTGGGCGTGGCTGTGGTGGTCATGGCAAACTGGGTGGGTGTGACCAAGGTGGGCATGGTCACCTTGATGTTGCTCATGGGGAGGATGCCTGTGGAGGCCGGGCAGGGTTGGGGGAAATCCAGGAGATATCTGGCAGATGGGGCGGTGGGCAGGAGCTCGTCCTGCGGGGTAAGGCGAGGCAGGGTGGGGTGCCATTGTCGCAGGGCAAGGCAAGGCAGGGGCCAGGACGGCTGCTGCCTGACACCATCAGCCCCCATACACAGGCCAGCAAGTGCATGGGGGCTGACAGTGTCCGTCAGCAGCTACAGCCTGCCAGCCCCTCTACCGGCACACTCTGGGGCTCCGCAGCCCGCCACCAGCAATTCAGAGAAGCCGCCTCTGAGCTGGATGGCTGGCCGACAGCTGAGGAGGTGATGCAGTGGGTCGTGCCCGGGAAAAGGAGAGCATGCGAGGCCAGGAGGGATGGGATGGGGGGAGGGAAACCACCCATGCTGGGATGAATCTGGCCACATGGGACCTCGGTGAGTTAGAGGGCGGCTGGTTGAAGAGGGACGGTTGCCATCTCTGGGGCATGGTGCATGTGCCCACAGAGAGGCTCTGAGTGCTGCCTCTGGCACGCGTGCCATAGGTTCACAACCACTGACCTATTCCAACAAACACATTTTATGAACAGGAGCTTTCAGGAGCTGCAGCGTGGAACCAACTCCTGATTTTTTTGGGGGGGGGGGACCACCATAGAATACAGGTCGTCCTCAACTTAAAACAGTTAGTGACCACTGAAAGTTACAACGGCGTTGAAAAAAGGAACCTATGACTGTTTTTCACACTACCATTGCAGCATCCGCGTAGTCAGGTGATCAAAATTCGGACGCTTGGCAATTGGTTCCCATTTATGACGGTTGCAGTGTCCCTGGGTCATGTGATCCCCTTTGGGGACCTTCTGACAAAGAAAAGTCAACGGGGAAGCCAGATTTATTTAACAACCGGGTTACTAACTTAACAACTGCAGTGGTTCACTTAATAATTGTGGCAAGAAAGGTAAAATGGAGCAAAACTCACTTAACAAATGTTTCACTTAGCAACAAACATTTTGGGCTCAATTGTGGTTGTATGTACCTGTATCTCCTTCAAAAGGCAGGAGTTTTGAAAGGACCAAACAAGTAGGGAAGCCAGGAAAAAAAGATCCAATTGCCCAGGGGAACGGCAACAAACTTTTGTCTGTTACCACAATCGTCGATTAAATTGAGGAATAAGTGCCAAATCAACAACCCATGATAAGCAAAGAATAGTAACTTTACCTCTCCACCTTCAAGGAAACCAGATTAAAAGATGTCTAATATATTTATTATTTTAACTGAAAAGCCTTCAACTGGTTACTAAAAGAGAGGGCTCACTGCAGTATCTTATTTTTGTGACGACTGCAATAGCTATGGAGGTAGCCCACGTTTAACCATTCGTTATGAGAGTTCTGAAGGAAGGAACTTAGGACCTGTCCCTGAAGTTATGGGCCTCGTCAATGGCCTTGGCCACATAATGAAAATTCGCCGCTCCACACCCTG